TATGTATAAGAGTTTACATAATTTCCGTTTTAAATATGATGTGAAAGTTATATTTAAAAAATTAATGAGCCTCATAATATTTTTTTTATTATACTTCTTTTGTATTAAAAATTTTTCTCTATTTTTTAAACAAACAAATTTAATTATATATTTATTTCACCAACCTTTTCCTTGAATCTCTTTCATCTACGTTCTCTGACCTCATAAAGAAATAATCTTTTGGGTATTCTTGCATTCCATGTAATATACAAGGAAGATTCAATATAAAAAAGAAAAGAAAAGGAGGAATATGTTGTTTGTAAACCAGGGAAAATCTTGCCCAAGAAGCATGTTTCAAAATTTCCAATATTATTTAATTTAAAAAATAAAATATTTTATATTTTGTGTGTGATTTGTTGGGTGCAGTGACGTGGGAATGAGATAAGGTGGTGAGAAGTGAAGCTTATCCACGACAACAAAAGTGACGTGGGACCCACATTTGTAGAAATTCAACACTTTTATTTTTATTATTCATCTTCTCATGTCCTATAATTATCATTTTACTCTCATTCTTGCTGCTTCGTACCCTTCATCATCTCAGATCCACTCCCATTCAAAGTATAAAACATTTCAAATTCAAAATAATAATTGCTATAATTTCTCTTCTCATTTTAATATATAATATTAATAATATACACAGGTTAATGTAAAAAGTATTATGGTAAAAATACATTAAAATTAAAAATATTCATTATGAGTTAATCATTAATTATTTCTTCATTTGAGTGACATTGGGGTAATGATGAAGATTGAAGGAAAACATGACAGGAATGAGTAAAGCTTATCGCATTACACGTCATTTCATCTCCATCTCATTTCATTTCATTTCATTTCACTTCACTTCATTTGGAACACTCACCTACTACTGCCCTTTGTTGGTGGTTAACCTACACCCACTTTTTCAACCCTTTCAACCTTACAATTACAACCATACCATTGTACTTAAATAAGCCTTTTGTACAAAAATAAGAAAATATAAACTTAAAAACATTAAATTTGTATATATTTTTTTAAAAGAAAAGTCTATAGAGTTCGATCAAACTCAACTGGGTTTATGTTTTGAAGCCCAAACTCTGGCCATCTTAAGTTTAACTTCTTTATTACTTGTATGTCTTATTAATTTAGTAATTTATATGTAATACTAAAGATGATTAAAGTTGTACTTAAAATTATATTTTTAAATATACTTTATAATTCATTTTCAGAAATATCAATAAAGAGTATGTGATCTATATTGTTATTGTCTCAACAACTTTAAATATTTATAATACAAAGAACTATTTTTCAATAAATGCATAAAGAATGTTTTTAATTAAGACTAGGATTTCTATGATATTGGAGAACACGTCCATAGATTAAATATAATTAATTTTTTATAAACTAAAATTAACTTCTTCATTATTTAAAATTATGTTATATAAAAAATAATTTTAAATCTCTCATATAATTTATCTATATTTTATTAACTTAAGTATTAATTAGTTAAATTATTTTTTCTATTTTTCTTCACTGTAAGTTTTTATAAATAAATTTTTCCAGACAAATTTTTATATTTTAGTGTAATTATATAAATATTCATGATGGTTTTTATATAATAACATCTTTTTCTTTTACAAGTTATATTTTTTAAAGAGTGACCAAGAGTTTTAATGATATTTTTAGTGTAATTTGATTTACGGTTTGATTTTACTAGCAATTATGTAGATTAGAGAATTTCTTTCTTTAATCACAAACACTTAATTTTTTGTTACAAAGATCCTATAATAATTAATTAAATGTCAATTTTTATTAGTGATTTTTTATATATTAATTGAATTTTTAATATGAGTTCCAACATTGAAAGTAAAGTGTGAGAAAAATAAATTGTGAAAAAGTAAATGTGTAATAAAGATAAATTACAAGAAAAATAAATCTAATTTATTATTAAGGATAAAATAAAAATTAATTAAGAAACTAAATGAAATTGGTGACCCAAATTACCAATAACTCCATTCAAATAGTTTTTCCTAGTCCATTTTTGTAGTATGTAAGTTTTTTTCGACAATTTATCACACCCATTTACACTTATTTCGTTCTATTTATAGTTTATTTCATCCAACTGTCAGGAGAATAAAAGAAAATACAATAATTAAAATAAAATACCAATGGTTTCTTCACCCATAACCATTTTCCCATCTTTCAAAAGTATTTTTATTAACATGTAGTTTGTACAACTATCTTTTGATCCCTTTATCATACTCAAATATGTAATTAATCCCTTGTGTTTCTCTATTAACTCTTTCTCGATAGATACTTTACTTCTCTCGATATCTCTAAGTCCATTGACCATTGATAAGTCTTCTTCGATATTTTCCTGACTCTTTCTTAATTTCTCAAAGTCTTTGATTTTAACAATATTATCTACTTTCGCTAGTGTGTTTCGCAATTTCTTATCTAATTATGATAGTCCTTTGATTCATTGATCTTCGATTATTATTTTGTCTTCTTTTCAATTTCCTTATGAATTTTCGATCCTCTAATTCTTTGGTGCTCCCTGATCACCTTGCTTTTTATCTCGATCGATCTTTTGATTACTATAAAGTCTTAATCTCATAATTCTTTGATTTGTAAATCTCAATCTTTTTGTGCTTTTCTATTTTGATTTTTTAATATCTCTTAATTAATACCTCGATTACTTATGTTCTCGATTTTCAATCACTTTTGATTCTCCAAATCAGATCTCGATTATAACCATTTCGATCTTTATCATTTGATTTCAATTTTTTTCTTATCTATCCTTTATCTCTCATATCTTGATTTTTACCTTATCGATCCTTTATTATCTCGATCTCGAATTCCACTAATCTCAATTTCTACTACTTCGAACTTTAATAACTTGATCTCGATTTTTCACCTTTTTAACTTCAATTCTTTCTTTCAACTCATTCTTACGGAATATCTGTAAATTTACCATTAATAAATGGTATGATGTTACAAATTTAGAAAAAATTAGAGATGATAATGTTATTTGATTTTTGGTTATATAATTGTTAAAAGATAAAAATATATTATTGACTTTCCGCCTATATATTAACCAAATATTTATAAATTGATCACCTCTTATGTGGCAATGTATATAAGATGAAGATTGAACTCTTAACATATAAGTGAAACTACCAATTCCAATGATATCTTCAATGGCTTCCGAGATATGAATTGTCACTTACTCGATAATATATGTCGTCTAGCATTGTGGTTATTATCCTTCTTGAGGCACGATTTCAAGTTAGGGGTTTGCTTAAAATGGTTGAAACTAGCACTGAATCTTCCACGACAAGTCGATGCCTTTGCTTTTCCCGAGTCATGTGAAGTGTAATTGCTAGAATAAAACCCTTTCTCCCGTTGGATCTGCATCTCTGCTAGTGACATTCTTTTAATATATCCAGACTTTAGAAATGTGGAATTTGTGTTGTTAACATGAGCTTAGAGTAAGGGTGGATGGCTTGTGGATTTGATGGGTTGGGATGAGGTTGTATTTATATTTGGAGTTTGATGCCTTATTGGATAAGTGTGGTGTGGAGACTTACTTTTTGGAGTGTATTTTAATTCATATAACTTGGCTAAGGAAACACAACATTGGATATTAGGTTTAAGTCCTCCCACTAAAAAGAAAACAAAATTCTCATGGTTAGAAAAGAGAAAATTATAATATACTGATGTCCGAACCACTAAAAAGTCAGTCAGCTTGCAATTGGTTATTTGAACCTATCATTGCACTTTTTTGTTCCATTTGCTTGTCACGTGTCCCTTTTCTTTGGTTGCATTATTTTCTTTAATTAACCTCTCTGCAGCTACGTTTGTTACAAGGAGGTGACACTTTTGCTGGAATTGGTGGTTTGTCCCTTTCATCCACATGAATGAGATCATGGATTCCAACTTCCTTTCCTTCTAGTCTTTGGGTTGGTGGTGAGAACTATCAACCCACTTTTGGATGACACCTAGACGTGGATGGACTCCAGACATGGTATGTGCACAACATCCTCATGCTACTCATGGTAAATGACACTCTTCATAGATGAAGGCCCAACTCTAGTCCTCTGTTGGGTTTCTATGTTCGGCTTCCAGATGGTGAATCTTGATGATTGCTTTTCTATCATCATCATGTTAAAAGGTTATGATATGTTTCTTGGTGATGCCAATAAAGCCGGAGTCAATAGCTCTTCAATTGTGTTAACATGATAAATTCTGTGTGTTGCCCACAGTTTTATCCTATGCACATAATGTAAATCAAATTCTTGATCTGACCTCTTCAGCTTCAGCATTCATGTTGGTTAGAAGTCAAATAAAAATTCACTCATTTTCTGGTACATTATGGGACGGGACAATTTCCACCCTTCTTTGTTTAGGCAATGGCAACAACCTTGCCCTCCACTACAAACTATTATTATTATTATATATGTTTAAATTTAAAGAAACTACTAAAGACATTTTTAATTATATATATATATATATATATATATATATATATATATATATACCTTTTTCTAAATTTAAATAATTAATATGTAAAATTATATTTGTGAACTTGATGACTCTTTCAACTTTTGTGTAAACACTTTTTTAAAAAGTGTTTCAAAACACCATTAATCTTGTGTTTTTCTTTTAATTTTTTTTTAAATTTAAAATTCTTTTTCTTCATCTTGCTGTTGTCTTGCAGATACCTTAGGCTAAAATTTAAATCTAGTGAATAAAAAAGCATAATTGAAAAGAGTGATTCCATTAAAGGTCACCGACCATTAGACATTGATAAAGCCGGTAAAAAAAAAAAAAAACTAGATGTTACATCACATCAATAACCCAACTATCACACCGTAACAATAATTTAATAATCAATCAAACACAAAACAAGAGAAATATTATGGCACCAAAGAATAACCATGAAATCAACCTTGTATTATATATCGAGCAAATTGTGATCCAATTTAAAGCGCAGAAGCAATCTCATACAGAAATGCTGCTAAGTCAATAGAATCTAATTGGTGCTAACTATAGCATTTCCCAATTGTATCAAGGGGAAATGCTAGTTAAATCCAATACTATACTAATATAAAGGTTACATAACTTAGTTGCTTGTACAAAGGAGCAGAGAGATTCTTATCTGCGATTTTTTTTTTCCTTTCATTCTCTAAAATACGAATATACATCTAACACGAGGGATAAGGGCATCAAGGTGATGAATATAATATAATCAATTGGAACAGAAAGAATTTTCCGTGACGATCCAATTTAACCTATCCTAAAAACTAATTCAAAGGACGAACCTAGAGAAGTAACGCCTGCAAATGACTTTTTAAAGCAGGATTAAATCAATTTCCAGAAACCACTGCTTCTACTGTAAGTTAGGGTATAACGCCATGTCTAATTGTCCTTTCTAAAAGTGGGACAACTGGGTAGAAAACGAATCGTTTTAGCACTTCCTAATAATATTCGCTATATTCGTGCCAATCTCTTTTTTAGTTTCTTCGCACACAGGGACATCGCCAATGTACATGTCAAAGAAAGCCCCTGCAAGTTAAAATATGAGATCATGATCTCTGTTTCATACTCATGATAAAAGAAAAACAAATTCAAACTGGTGCAATGCAAGCACATGTGTTTGAATATGACTTACGACACAAATCTTTGCTGTAGACACTTCCTATCTGATTGCCACTAACTGTACATGTAAAACGAGCACTTTCAGTTCAAACATCACATAGAGAAAACACAAGAAAGATAAGTTTAATCCCCTTCTGCTCTGAGGCAAACACTATAAACATGATTTCGAAAGTCAAGTACGTGTTGGAAAATATAACTCACTTATAGTGATCAGACGCCCATCAACTGTCCGTTTGAACTCAATTACAGTACCCTGCAACATCGCAATATATCTAATGTAAACCTCACATCAAAGTAATTTAGTATAGCAGGAAAGAAACATATTGATAAATTATTTACCAAAGGTATTGAGATATTCTCTGTGAAGTATGAACCAAATGTCTCTAGGCAGTTAAAGTCCGTGGAAGGATTTGTCTGACCAAAAGTGGCGTTCAAAGGGTGTTAAAATTTGAACTAATACATGTTGAAACAACAAAAATCATTTTCCAATGCATAGAGTACCTTGACTAGTCGAGCTCGAAGTGATTTTTCAAAAGCACTGCAACCAAAAATACCAAAACAAATCAGTAGCCTGTTGCTTTACCATGTACTTTCGTAATCAATTATATAGCCCAACATTATGTTGAGGTCGCAGCTGGTAGCATGGGCTCTAGGCCCAAAATTAAGTAGTCCAAAAATTATCCTGGATGGAGCTAAGTTATTTTAATTATTTAATATTTTCTTTTTATTTCCTAAAGTCAGATGATGACACTTGTATGTTTGTCATCCAGTTAGGTTAGTAGCTGTAGGTTATTTTAGTTATTGTTCTTATGTATTTTGGGATAACGAAAATTTTAGTAGTATGTCCCTTTTTACCTTCTTTATTCTCTTGTTTAGGTTATTTAACGTAGCCGTAGCTTTAGCTCTCTAACAGCACCACTCCATTAGAAGAGCACCAGACCAGACTCTTTTATAAACTTCACCCAGTAGTTCTAAAAATTACTCAAATCTAAATTAACTAAATCATCTCTAATTCAAACATGGTTCAGCCAATTCTTAGTTAGGAAAAAGAAAAAACTACTCAGTATTGGTACATCAGGATCTGTACAATAGCAATATGCAAAACTGAGTGCACTTATTTGGACTTGAGAAACATTGCCAAAAAAATGTTGGAAAAAAAACGTAAGACAAAATATCTTCAAATAGAAGTAAATAAAGTTTATTAGAGACAAAAGAAGCAAAAAAACAAGCAGAAGAGAAGATATATTACTTAATTACAGTATTGATTTTGGAATCTGTATATTTTGTGGTAACTGTATTGAATATTGTCCAACAAATTGTTTATCAATGACAGAAGAATATGAACTTTCAACTATCGTCATGAATTGAATTATAATCTAATTGTTTTAAAAAAGGTGAAGGATGCCAAATCTAATTGTTAAAACATGATTTAGAATCACACAATTCACAAGATAAAATTGTTACTTACTCTCTCACACTGTTAATTTTCATACCCCTGCAATTTACAACAAGTCTGACTGTCATGTGGATATCCTCCCTGCAGTGGTAGAAAATACAACAGTGCCATCAAAATTAAGATTAAATACCATAAGCATTAAACCAAACAATTACTTCTTTAAGGTAGCAAAGCTTAGAATTAGATTATTTTTATCTAAATCCAGATTAAGGATATCCAAGTGATTAAATTAACCTAGCTTTTTATATTACCTATAAAGTTCATAGAGAGCTCCACAAACTTTCATATGTACTTTATAATACTCAATGCATGACTAATTGTCACCACTGATAAGAGAAATCTTTCCTCAATAAAATTTATAGATTTATTAAAGATATGATGTTTGAGACCTGAGAAGATCCTTGTAGAAGTCCTGATGGTTATTCAGTTCACCAGCAGAAATTGATGCATATTTTGGTCCCAATTTCTCACAGAGGGAGTACGGATGGATATCTGTTACAGACCAACAGTTACACAAGAAGCATCAATAATAATTCTTGTCTGGTCAAAAGGAAGGACAAAATAAATTAAGTAATCAAGAAAGCTTACAAACTCCAAAAGCATAGACTTTCAGTGACTTGATTTTAACTATTGTCATGGTTCTGGATCCTGTTCCAACCAGGACCTAAGCAAATTTAATTGATCAGTTTATATAAAAAAAAAAACAAAAACAAAATGGAATCTCAACCAAAGCATGCGATAATACCATAATAGGCAAATAAAATTAATTCAAAAGGAACTGGAAAGTTGAAACTAATAGGTTATGGTTCACACAACTGGAAATTCTTGGATACTACATATAATGCAAGAAATTGAGAAACAATTTTTTACTATTCTCTTACACCCAATTACCTATTCCGTAAAGCACCAAATATGGTTCATGGTTGAGTTTTACAAACTGGATGGAACTTGGAGGGTAATCAGTTATTTCCATAATAATAAATCAGTTTGTGACTCAACAAAATTCAGATCCTTCTTCAAACCCTCTCTCTCTGAGTCCAGATAACCATGGGATAGCAGTGTCACTTTCATTCTTCCTGCGTCCTTTCATTTCCTCAGAAAATATATCCAAATATTTTCCTTCATTTACCCTCAGCCTCTTCCATCAAATCAATTTCAATCGTTCTCAAATCTGATTCATGACCCTTTTTTTTGGATTGTTTAGTATCTAATGTGATGCTGTTAGGTAGCCTACAGAGCCACAATGTAAAGTGATTGGTGACCAGTGAAAACCCTGGTCATTTTCATTTTGCAATTACAACTCCCAGCTATGCCAGGCTAAGAATCTTAAACAAATAGACTTGGAAGGCACATCCTTGGCCATTATAATTCATCTCATATAAACATCCCCCCTCTAAACTGCAAACACTCGACTTAAATCACAACCCAACAACATGAAGAGAGACATGGTCACTTTGATTCCTACCACTCAAAACTTTGACTTACATCTTTTACTTCATATCATCCCCCTCTTATCAAGCCTTCAGTTCTTCACTACAAAAAATTGGTGCTCTGTCTTATTCCATAAACATACCAGGTATTTCCATTAGATGCCTCAGCTGTCATATCCACCACCCACTAGAAACTATATCCTCTCTATAAGTACTTCTTGTTGCATAGTAACACTCAATAAACTAGAAAAGTAAATTTCAATGAACCAAAGAAAAGACTACCTAAATTTCTAATCAACTATGGGCATGTTTGGGTAAACCTCTCCAAAAACACTTCTAAGAGAGAAAATAAGAAGTAAAAATGGAATGAGCTTCTCCATAAGCTAAAATTAGGTCATATACTAGTTAATTTGTAGAAGTTCTCTCATACTAGCATCTCTAGAAGATAATTTTAAATATACGTATTGAATAATTTTAACTTGCAAAGAAGTTTATTTTATCTTTCTGTCTTATTTTCTTTTTCTATACATTTTTATGGACAAATTTACCCGAACATGCCCTATGAATTTGATAGTCCAATTTTTTCTTTAACTACAAGACATCAATCATGCAAAGAATCTAGCAAAAAAAATCTTAACTAAAAGTCCAAAACAGTTGCATTAAGCACGGAAGGCCCAAAAGAACCAGAAAAGGATTTTTCAAACAAATATTAACCTCAGAATTGAAGCCGAAATCCTTCTCTCCAGCGAATATATTGTCTAGAACCAAAGGAAATTCAATGCCAGTTTTAGGTTCCACTGCAGGTTTTGCCTGGTTCAACTCAAGATACGATAGGAACGGACATCCTTGGCATTCAACCTCCTTGGGAACTTGGTCAATGGCTCCATAGATTTGCATATCAGGATTCTGCACTGGGCTACCTAGTACATTTGATGATCTATATGCAAAGTTTTAAAAATAAATAAATTAAAAAGAATTTGCCACAAATCAAGAAAGAAAGAAAATGACACATGCAAAACTAATCTAAAAGCTTGAATGGTGAAAAGTGACAAAATGAAGGGGAATGCAAAATAGCACATGTAATCAGACCAATTACCATTGTTCAAAAATTTCAAAGTTGAAAGAAACACAATGGAATATGATACTCTTTTACATTGCCTTCAATTCTATACTCATTTTTTTCTCTCCCCCGATTTGAAGTTGTAGGTATGTAACCACTTTAATACAGCTATAACTCTTTTCATTCCACCCATTTTACAAGCCTAAAATATCCAAAATGATACAACAATTCTCTGAGTTTAATGTTCATGCATTGGCCTGATCAACCAACCAATAAGAAATCATCATATATACAACTTTTAAAGTGAGTATATAAGTACACAAACTTACTATATATGACAATGTGTGATTAAAGTATACAGTAAATTAGAAATCATCTTAAATTATCACTTTACAATGACTAGTATAAAATTAAAAAAACTTACATCAGAACGTGTAATAGGGTTGCAGTGTAATCAGCAGTGCATTTTAATTAAATTCTAATTGTGTTCCATTCCATTATATTTCATAATTAGATGTTCAAACATATCCATGAAAATCAATATCTCAGTTTTCGGAGTGTTACATACAAGTTTTGAAACGGTGGAACCAACGCAGCAGCAAGCGATAGAACAGGGAAGGACCGCAGCCTCTTCGCTTCTCTCCAAATCATCTTCATCGCCAAACTCGAAATCTTCCCTAACTTCACAGACACAAACGACTTCCTCTCCGATCGAAACGGAAACCCGAACAGACGCGCATTGGTCGACACGGCTTTAACCTGCGCAGTACCAAACCGAAGAGGAGGAAAACCACGCAGGGACCGCGCCACATTGGAACTGGAGGCGCGTGAGAGCCACACCATAAACGCGCCGGCAAAGCGCGACACGTGTCCGAAGGCCTCTTCGATCGCGAAGTTTCCTGGATTGTTGGCCAGCGAATGCAGGAAACGCGAGCTGAGAGAATTGCGGAGCACGAATGGCTCCAAATAGGTGAATACGTCAGGATCCGAATACAGCGAAGGTAGCCAAATGAAATCGTTATTCATCGCGACGCACGAAATGATCGGTTTAAGAACCTGCGAAGCGCGTTCTGGAAGGGAGCGAGGAAACAGAAAGGGAGATATAAAATAAGGTCCTGTTTGGTTGGGATCGGAGAATAATCGAATGCGAAGCGAGTGTGATTTTGGCGAGTCTCGCGACGTGAATATTGGCGTGGTTGTTATTGTGAAGGAAATGAGAGAAAAAGAGAAAGAGAAAGAGAAAGAAAAACGGAATTAAACAAGAGACCGGGAATATGCTTTGGACAGGGAAAGGGGCGAAGTCAGGGATGATTCAACGCTAAAGCGATCTTTAGAGGGTATAAGTGGAAAAGGGGGAAATTGTTGAAGCACTTTTTGTGCATTGGACGGTTGAGAAGTTTCCATGGCCCACCGTTTTCGACCCAAAATGACCTTGAAAAAGACTGGATGACGTTTATGACCTTTGGAATCTTTTCTACATCACGTGATGATGATGCCAATTAACGGCGTCGGTTGAGGTCGGTTTCTTTCTTCCCGATTCTCCATGGGAATACTTGATTCGTTGAAGTTAATCTTTTACTACCACTTCTCTTTGTTTTCAAATATTATAAGATTTAATACATGATTCAATCAATATTAACATGTAATACGAAAAAGTTGTCCTATTTTAAGATCGGAGAATCTGATCTCATATTTCCTATCATAAGTATTTTTTTAATAATATTTTAAAAAAATAGCTCCATAATAAAAAAGTTGTAGTGTTTTTTTTTAGCTGTGGCGGTGTCGTGTGCATCTTTTTTACGTACTTTTTTAAATCTAAAATCCCATTTATGCGGAACACGAGTTGGACTACCGAAGTTTGACAACCATTCCCACAACCCGATGTTTCCTATATGAATTTGTGTTCACTTTTTATTTTATTTTTCTTCTTCTTTTCACAAATAATATTCAAAAATAATTTTAATTAACAATATGCATGATGATGTAATAGTTGTTGTTTAACATTTCGTTAAATTTTATTTTTAAAATTGTTTTTTTTTAATATTGAGATCTGTTGACAATTGATTTTTCATACTTAACATTTTTCGTGCCTCAGAAGTTTTTTCTTTCTTATTTTTTATATTATCACGTGTATATTATTTTTATTATACTCTTTAGATCAACTAATTAATTTAAGTGTTTGAACTTAAAAAAAAAAAAACTCCTTAAGTTTAAAGATATACTCATAACAAGTAAACATTATTTTATACTAATCTCAATCTTTACAACAAATTTTTTTATTAAAATTTGTTATTTTTATATTTAATTGTGTGGGGATAACTTGAAATGATAACACAAACAAACAAAAATTGTAAAAATTAATTATAAGAGTAAACAAATACAAAACCGCACAAATAAAAAAATCCATTTTAAATAAAATCCAAAAATTATACACGGAATAGAAATAGTAAAATGGAAGAAAATAAAATAAAACAATCATCCTATTTCATTCCCTTCCATTTAATAAAACCAAACAATAAAAAAAAACATTAAAATACCATTCCATCTCACTCCTATTCAATGATGCATTAATTATTTTTCGAAAAAAATAATATACAATTTTTCTTTCCTAATATATTAATTTTTACTCAACTACTTTTAACATTAAATACGATAAAAGTCATTTTCAAATAATATAAATTACTGTAATTTATTATTTTTAACTAATCAACTAAATTTTCTTACAGTGGTGAATAAGTTAAAAAGAATTTTATAATTAGAGACGAATGGATAAATTGAAAGAAAAAGAGAAAAAGTCTTCCTTAACCATTGACAAAATCAATATATGACTGCTATAAATGTCATGGTATCCCAAAAATATATGACAGCACAACTCATTTGAAAAATTCCGTATGTATTACGAAACATGAATCAAACACAGAAACACAAGTCATGACAGAAAACAGCAAAAGAAAGGCGTACATGTGAATAACGTGTCAAAACATGTGTCTATAACATCATAGAAATAACATCAATGCCGACCAATATTCCAAATCAAAACCAATGAATATAGGTTTGAAATCAGAACTCCACAATGCAGCACATGAAACATGGCACGTCTCCAAATTATTTACATGTGTGCATGGAGCATGCATGCACATCAACACAACACCAGTAGGAGACAAAATATGATGACTAACATGAGATATGAAATATATCATATGACTGGTGGCTTTCAATCTGTGAAAACATGATCACAAATCATGGTATCATCAAATCCTGAAACTTGAGTAACAAATTTTCCCTTTTGGAGATGGATGTGAAGATCAACTACAAGGCCCTTTTTCATCCACTCACTCATTCATTCAACAAGATTAACTTGAAATATAAATCAACAAATCGATTTTAATATTTAGTATACCTGACCCCTAGTATACCCAAAATCTGATCACCTTTTCAATGTAAAAATATTGTATTGTTATCCTTTTCATGACATATGGTTCAGTCACTGCTCATAACAAGCCAGCCTCAAAGAGATGTCTCCGCCTCAAAGTCTCATCAACAAGCTTGAAAGTCTTCTTCACAACCTTCTGATCAAGGGCAGTGGTCCGGTAGATCTTAAAGACGCGATCTACGCGATCAGGAGCAGTGCTCTGGAAATATGATTCCTCAAACTTTTTCTTTACAAACCTGAAAAGAGTGTATTCAAGTCAATTGGTTGTGTTGGTTATGAAAATTAATCATCAAGAGTGCTTGGAATATTCACTTTTTCCTTTCATAGTTTACTGCCTTAAGATAGCTAGGCAATTTAGTTCCAAAATATGTTCTGTTTTCATTTTTAATTACAAAAACGTCACTGTTTTTTTATCTTCACACACGTGTTTGAAAAGCCTTTATAAAAGCTGTTTCTAGTCATTCCTTCAAGCATTGAGTTTATTTTCTATGCACGGTTTCTGCTGAAAATGTTGGTGCCAACCAATCAGAAATTCTAGTATGGTTTTTGAGATAATTATTATAGAAGTTAACAATCCTATCACAGAAAACTTGTGATTGAATGACAGTATATAATTCAGTTCATAAACTATAAAAAGTAGGTTCTAGTTTCTCCTATAAAACATTTGAATATAAGAAAGAAACAAATGAAAATGGGATAACATCTTCATGATTAAAAGTGAAAACATACATTAAAATAAAAAAAAAAAAAAAAAAAAAAAAATCTTAAACCAAACTACCCTTGAGCAATCATAATAAGTTCATACCCTTGCTTACAATGTTATATACAGAAAGCATCAACATGAATAATATTCCCTTTTTTATGGGTCTCATGGAAACACAACGCAACCAAGAATCTTTTGGCTCATCATGCAATAGAAAGCAGTCACACAATAAAGTAAGAATGTCTGAATTTAGAAGGCCTCTATTGGCCAAGATCAACTATTTTGGCATGTTGCTTTCTGCAATTTCTATTATTCTATATGCCTCAGTATAAAGAAGTTGCTTACTCGTATGCATGCTCAATCTCTTGTTTCCCTGTTGAAACAGGTTGGTAATCTTTGAACCATTCACATACATTAAGTGGGACCTGCACGATGCAAGAGATTAGAGACTGAAATGATGATAACCTCTCCAGTAAGAATGTACAATATTCAGATGGTTCTTACTTTCAGGATCTTCTTCTCAAATATGTCAAACTTGTTTAAGAATAACATGAAGGATGTTTTCTGTGTAGAAAAGAGAAGGACATCATTATTTTCTAAGATAGGTATAAATGTTAACTTACTAAAAAATATAAAGGGACTAAAAGAAAAAATATTGACGTTAGAAATTTCTCCATAATTGTAGTAGAAAATTTAAAAAAGACCATAAAAGGAAACCTCAAAACATGGTTGCTTCAGGACCCACTCGAAAAGTTCCTTAGTCTCCATCATTCTGTTTCTGTTTTCGTCCTCGAAAAGTGTTTGATCATACCTGTAAACAGGTGTGATATCAATACCTTTCAAGCTTTGTGTGTTCAATATTTAGTATTCAATGACCTAGCACCAACTATTTTATGCACACTGGCATTTTTTTATTAGTAACTAAACCATACATACAGCAGCAAGAGTACAATTTTTGTATTCACTTTCAAGTGAAATGTGTCTGATAATTAATCAACTACCGAAGTGACAAAGTAACATAAAATAGTATCTAATCATACATGCAAAAAACCTTGTGATTTTGAGATTTGACAATGTCAAATTCAAATAAAGGGATAGATGGAATGGAAGGCCATACTCGCTAATTGCAGCACAGAATATTACAGCTGAAACTCCTTCAAACAAATGGATCCACTTTCTCCTTTCATTTCTCTGGCCACCAACATCAAAGAGTCTATAAACTTCACCACTTTTCTTATTTTCCCCAACAGGACTGTCAAAATAGCAAAGACATACAAATATATGCTATTGAGTAGTTTTACACTTTATGCCATATTATGTTAAATAAAAATAAAAGGTGATAGTGAATATCAAGTATATACATCAGTTACACACACTAAGACAAGCATAACAAAGATCATTTGAGGAACAAAAAAATGTATCGTAACCCTTTTTTTATCACTTTTCACAATTTAGATGGTACGAGAAAGTGGATATGGATCTCAGGTAGTCTGGATAACAACAGAAAATAACATATATAACCACGAGCTATGAAGACCAATGACAGCAATCAAATGTAAGAAAATGCAAGAACTGTCAAAAGAATTATAGGTTTAGGATTACAAAAGAAAGGAGAACTAGGCAGCTCAAAGTATACATAGAAAATATAATTGATAAATATTATGTCATAACTTATTACTTACATTAAAATTAATATAAAACTATTATTGTCTTTGCCTAACAGTTTAAGAACTGGGATAGAGGGTTCATGGCAAAGAAATTAGGGAAGTCATGCAATACCTCTTTCTCTAGCTGGCCAACTTCATAAGATGACTCTATATCCTACATTTTGACACCTATTAGGGTAACACCATTTTGGCTAACAACACTAATCCAAGACACGACCTCACTAATAGAATTTTCCTTCTACGATAGGACAACTATCTAGGAACGGCTTTATATGTTGGGCAATCCTTTCCTCTAATATATCTAGATGTGACTCCTCCCTGTTGGAAGCTATAACAAACAAGCAGCCCTATCCTCCCACATCAAACATAACAAGAATCACCCAAAATGGTAACTTTTGGTAACAATAACTAGAAGAACAAACAACAATAACATAATAAAAGAATAAATGCCATAATTTCAAGTATTACTTTACGGGGCATCATTCCGACAATCTTCGGGTAATGACACAGCAAATGCATAAATCTAATGTAGTTTTTTATGTCCTCTTTGGAGGATATTGTGAAACTTATATGGAAAGAGTACAAAAATAAACTTACACAGTCAGTTATGTGGATCAAACGTTGCAATTGCGTTCAACAAGTCTGTAGAAAAGTCATTTAGATCCAAGTCTGTCTTAATGGTTTCATTGAAACCTTTTATTGATTTTCCTCTACCTCTATATATTATCCCCATATCATCTGATAAACTATTCTTACGTCGCTTCTATTGGTCTTTTTCTCACATGATGAAACCAACTTACAGAAGATTCTACCATGTTATGCTACCATATTTTCTCTCTAATGCATTTGTTATACTAGTCTTGACTTGCATTCAAATACAGAGAAATGATATTGCTATAAAATGAGGCAGTTGGTGAATACTACATCAACAAAATTTGGTTCTTGTTTTACAGTTACCTCTTTCAATCAGTAAGAATCCTAATCCCCCAAACAGGCGATATATCTTCATTGTAAATAAAACAAGCACAGTAAGAAGTATCACGCCAAACATCATGTTTACCTGAACTGGATCTCTACAACCCCAGTGGTACGCACTCTAGCATACAAAACATCCTCCTGCAGTTGTTAAACAGAGTAAGAAATTATGACAAATTTATGACTGTACAAAAATTTGATGAACTTTTTCCATATGCTCTATTTTTGCAGAATATAGTATCACAACACCAATATACCAACAAGAAGCAAAATAGAATATAAGTTGATTAAAGTACAAAAAGAAGTTAAGCAAACTAAGGCCGACCAGAACAGGATTATATACCACTAATCATTTAGATCAAGAATGAAACACCATATGACTTGATCTTTTACAAATTTTAAGCAAAAAAGAAAAATTCAGACCCTTTTCAATCACAAGTGTCATGGGTTGTAACCAATGCGTGTTAAATCTTATACCAGCAAAGGTAAGAAGAGAAGAAATAAAAACAATTTGGGCCTTCAATCCCATAACATCTAGAAAATAAAAAAATACCACACCAACCAATAAATAAATCAGATCCACAAGTACCAAGGGCAGATAAAATGAAATTATGAATTAGTTTTAAAATGTATGTGAAAGTATGATATAGGTTTTTGTTACCTTTGTTGGAACATAATTTGCGTCGGACAACCTTTGTAAATTTTCCATGAAATAATCAGTACACTCTGGAATTTGAAGCTCACTGCCACGGGCATATGTCTCCTACAAATAGTAAAATATGTGGTCCATAATACTAATTAGCTTATGCCAAAAAGTAACTATATAGCAGGATTTAAGAAAAAGAAACCAAAGTATGACATCTAGCCACCTGAATTGCAGGATCCTTCCACAGATTTTCAATTTCTTGAGCAAGTTCCTTGGTGAGATCTGGGTAATCCAACCTGCCTCCAATTTCCGATAACTTTTCCCCTATTTCCTGACAGAAAAATTAAGAAAGCTTCATTTGAATTTAAATAAAAATCCTGTCATGAACCACTATCCCAAGAGCTAAAGCTGTTGAAAGAACAGAGGTGACTGGTTTATATTACTAACATGCCTTTTCGTGCAGTGGTTATTAGGTTTTGAAGTATGGATATTGCACAGGTCCATCTACCTTGTTCCGAAAATTCAACTTTTTATCAGAAGGATGGAAATGACTAAGATTAAACTCTAAACTACTTGGTTGTAGAGACATTGATACATGAACCAACTATTCTAAAAACTAAAGTTGTTGCGAATGGACCCAGGAATGGTTTTATATTACATTTCTAATAAATTATTGGCTTAATTGAACTTTTGATTCCCCAAATATTGCAATTCCCAACTTCCAATTGCACAACGGTTATTCCTCTCAAAACCATAAGCTAATGTGGCTTAATTGCATTTTTGGTTGCAAATGATTGTTGTTCCAAAGGGAATAAGACTATAACTAAGTCAAGTCGACATATATGCCAAGCAACATGTCAGCTGACACATCATCAACATGTCATCATGTAGTGCTATAGTAGCAAAATCTATTAAATACTTAATTGAAGACTGATGGATAGACTAAAATTACACAATTGCAATACTTGGAAGACCTAATTTGCACAACCGGAACCTGAGAAACCAAAATCGCAGAATTACACTACCTAAGAGACCAAAAATGCAATTATGCCTAAATTCTTTTTTGATAAAGCAATAAAATTGCCCCAAAAGATGCCTGTGTACAGCTTATTATAGTTCTTTACAAAAAAAAATTGTGTAAAAAGATAACACATCCTAAAATTCTTGGCCATGTCATAGTAGGGGATCACAGAGATGGTAACAGTAAACTACCTTATTTTCATCGGATATAACATACTTTGAAAAATCAGCATCATTCTGGGCAAATTCCTTTGATCCATCATTCAGTAACTGTACAAATGCATCAAGTACACATTAAAGAAAACATTTTGCTCAACTACGTCCAATAAACTCAATTCACAAACAAGCTTTTTCAAACAATAAGCAGTGGACACTGCAAACTCTGTATTTTAAAGAGAAAAATAATTAACACACCCTTTCAAGTATTGCGTACTTTTATTGTCTGATACACATTAGCATGAATGACTGGTAAGTAGCTTTTTAGTTCTGCCTCGTCAAAGCCAGTTTGAAACAAAAGTTTTATCTGCACATTACGGACAAACAAATAAATATCAACTATCAAGTTATACATAGCTAAAACAAGGACAACAATGCTTTTTCTTACTTGCTTAAATATTGTGGACTTTCCTGACTCTCCAGCTCCTAAACAACAGGAAAATCGAACATTTAAATAAGTCCAAGAGAAAAATAACCAAAGCAACTAAGCAAGAAATTAAGTACTTATTGCATATATGATTTAATTAAATCAAAATGGCGATAATGAATGAGAAGAGGATAGACCACTAAACTAACAGAAGAAGTCATCCATGATGAATAAGGAAAACCTGATATCATGTTTAATCAGTTATTCCAAATCTCAAAGGTCTGATCCATGAGTATACAAATTATCAAATAGATTCCTGAACGATAGAAACTAAAACATTTTGTGACAGATTCTTATCTAGAAGAATGAGGGCTGCAATGACTGAATACTTGAACACTTGGTCATAGAAGCCTTAAATTATAATATCATGTCAATCACCAAGCTGAAGGCTTGCATCATTTTATATCTCAAATGCATATTGAATTATGAATCAGGTAAAGCTTAATCAGAAGATAAGCAACTTCAATTTTTTTATAGCAAAAGGCCTTATTCTGCAGTGTTTGCAGGTTTCTTTACAAAGGAGACAAAAAAATATGATAACATATGTAACAGAGTCACATGTGGGCACCAAGTGTTTTTAACACTCCAATCACAAGCAGATACTACATACAAAAATACTTGCTATTTCTTCAAATTTGGGAGCATAATCACCACTTATACAATGGTGATTCCAAGTGCCTTTATAAATCACTTAATTTAATTAACTTTAGCTTCAAAATGTATCAGTTAAGCATATAAAATAGATATATAAGAAAACTTCTTGAGTAAAACGTACCAAGTAGTAGAAGTTTTTGAATATGTTTTTCAGCCTTTGTTTCCAATTCTATTCTTCTTTCAATCTCTGCAGTCTGCAAATGCACACACATTTATCCAATTAAAAAGCCATGTAACACTTTAAGATTAAGATCTTAAAAATCATGAACTTTTTTTACTATTATTGACCTGTGCATTTTCTTCAGCATCAGCATCATTATAACGCCGGTTTCTGCTACAGAGTAAGCCCATATTTTCTGTTACACAAGACAGCATAGAAGATGACTAGTCAAGCTCCACCAGAAATCACTGAGTTTTAATGCTCTTCCCTAATGTGTACATGCATTAGTGGGCTTGATTTCACCTAACAAAAAAACTAGCATAGTGTCAGCAGCCAAAACAAGACATACAAAAATCCTCATCCCTGCAAAGAACATCTCAAGTCACTTCATAATTAGGTATTCCACTCAGCCTAATAAGACAGCTGAGTGAAGAAAAACAGACTCAGGCGCAGCTTGATACCATGTTGAACTAAACCTGTAGGTGCCAAAATATTTGCCACATTATATTTGAAGTTGAGAACAATTCTGAATAATTTATTTTGCCATAAAGCCAAAAAGCTATTTAGAATGGACAATAGGAGATTCTCCACTATATTACAACTAGGAACAATTATGTAATCAATCACACATGAATAAATTACGAGTGACACAAAGGTCCAAGGAAGTAGCACACAGCAATGTACCCTGAATTTCACCATATATGGCTAAGGCCACCAATCAGATAATCTTACGAGTACCCCATGTTGAGGACAGGGTTATGAAGATAACTAAGATACCCGGGACTTCCACCGAAATTTATATGAGCTATTATTTTACTGTCTTAAGAGTGTTGTCTATTGGGTTTACCAAAATAATCAAGTCAAAAATCTCCTATGTGCTAACCGCCCCCCATCCAATGACGCCGTCCCCCCCGCCCCCCCAACCCCACACACAATCCATAGACATAAGAAGAAAGTAATCAATTCATTTGGACATACACTCATTTTTCCTTTCTTGCTTCTATCAATATTATCATTGCTCAGCTAGGCAGTACCATACCTAAAAACGGAAACAAGTAATCTCTTCACACTAAGCAAGAAAATTCAGTACCTCAAATACTACCATTAGCATGCAAAGAGCAATCAACCCATCGAAGAGCAATCAACCCATTAGATCAACACACACAACCAAAAAAAAAAGGAACCAACCCACATCTCGATCTAAATATGCAAGTGCAGAATCAATTACAGAAACCTCTTCAGCCAAAAGAAAATCCAGCCCATCTCAATTTACCAGGAAAAGGAACGATCTTTAGAGAGAGATTAAGAATGCAACAGAGAAAAACAAGAGGGTTACCTGAAAACAAGTAAAGGGTTTTTTGTTTCTTTTTCTCTTTTCTCTTTTGTAGAGTTGTGAAAGTGCACTCTGAGTTTATGCCGCTAGATTTGGCTGATGCGGGTGGTTGAGTTGAGAGGTTGAAGCTAAAAGGCAACAACTTCAGTTGGTTTGTTCATTGCATAAAGTGTAGAAACCAGGAAGATACATCACTCTAGTATATAAAAACAAAACAATTACAATAACAATAAAACAAAAACTTGTTTTTGTTTAGTTTAAGGTAATAAAAATAATAATAGTAGTTGATAATAGTAAAATAGTGGATTATAATATAATAGTACTTGGGGTGTGTGGGTAATAATGGGTACAGAAAAGAACAAGTACTAGTTTGTCATAGAGAGACAGAGATGAATATGATATGAGGAAATGGGAAGCGGAGAGTATGAAGGAAAAGAAAAATAGAGATTAAAGAAAAAGAGCGCCGAAAGCTGCTAAGGTTTCTTCCTCTTCTTTGGGTTCGGTTCGGTCAAAGACAGAGACAGCGAGGCCAGAGCGATTACAACACTTTTCTATGTGTCTTCTTGGGAAAATACACTAATCACAGTGTCTAGTTATAACCTTCACCGTGAAACTTGTTACATGTTTTATATATATATATATAAATATATATATGTATATATATGTATATATATATATATATATATATATATGTATAATTAGGATAAGTATTTTGCACAAGTTTCTTCTATTCAAAAACATTATTTTTCTCATGTTTAAGATATAATTTACAAAATAGTTTAATAAATAAGTAAATAAGTAAATATGTAAGATGAAAATAAATTATAAACGTTCATATTTGTTTTTATATATTTATTTCTACATTTAAAGACGACAAAAAAATTGGTGAATGTTTAAATGGGTTAATTTAATATGATATTTAAAAAAAAAAAAGTAGATGAGTTGGCTTATTTTAATGTTTAGATTGACAAAAAAAAAAAAAAGATTTGCATGGGTCAGTTGTTTTAGTTACACATGATTTACAAGGAATTGAAAAGAGTGAGAAATGTAAAATAAATTCAATAACGGAAAGTGATAAAAAGCTAACATGAAGCATATGTACGACTCTAAAGTATGAATTTAATCGTGATGTTTAATTTTTGTAATAATAATTTTGCACATTTATCATAAAAAAAATTGTGGATTGGTTACTACTAATTCGTCTTAAACTCATTTAATCTTTAAGTTTAATAAATTATTAGACTCAAATATTTCAGTTAATTGTGTGTAGTACATTTGCACTTTTATGAGCAAAGCTTCTTCTGGAGGGTTTGTGAAATGGAAATTCAAAGTAAAGGTCAATGCTCTTTTATTGTTGATCTTTCTTTTCTCTGTTTTTCATTTTCAATATTTTATTTACCTGTTCTTTGAACCGACCATGCATCTTTCTTATTTTTTTATTTATTTGATGCAATGTTATTATTAAATTAGTGTCTCAAACTTTGACTCATTTATCTCACAAATATTCTGCTTCTCTACCTACCAACCAATAATTTTAAATTAATTACAGATATGATTTGGTAATAAATTTATTAAATATGTTTTTGTGACTAAATGAACTTAATTTTAGATCATTATACAAATAATTTAAGTTAGTTTGTTTATTTATATTAAAGAAAATTACCTAAAAAAAATCTTACTAATTCAGATATAACGACTAAACTGAGTTACAATCATATACACAAAATTATTTTGTTTTTTTTTTTATGAACATAAACCACCAGTGACCGAAACTCTTGAAATTTGAATTAAACCTGTAAAAGAAAATCATTATTAGCATCTCTCAATTCAACTTTGACTTTGTTAAAAATTATTAATTATTAATTTAACTTGTTTAAATTATTTATAACTTGACTATTTTTCTTTCTTTTTACAAAATTGTCTTAAATTCTTTTTCAACTTTATCAATATACTATCTAAAAATTATTTTAATACTAATCTTTTTACCCAAACTTTTTTCAAAATAAAAAAAAATCATATATAATAAAAAAAAACAGATACAAGTGTAACTCAATATTAATTAACATTGCCTAAACTTTAAAATAAATATATTAACCTCTTAATAAAATATAAATTATAATATTTTTCATTTTGAATATTTATATATATATAATTTATCAATAATTTACATTTGTGTTTATCTCTATTATCTTTTTTTTTTCACATGCATCTCCATAACAATTTAAGCATAAACTTACGCTTTACTGGCTTGCTTGCATTATTCTTCTTCGTATACTTTGCTAGTTTTTTCTTGGTTTTTTTTTTTTTATGAACTTTCTTGTTAATAGCATTTTTTCAAATTTCTCATTGGAGCAGAATGAAAGTTAATATTTATTTAATTAATAATTTATTTATTTATTACTTCATTTTTATTTCTTAATATATATATATATATATATATATATTTATAATATATTTTTTCAATAAATGTTTATTTATTTATAATAATTCAAAAAAATATTAATTAATAATTATTATTATTTTATTTATTTTTTGTAATTTATAAAAATAATTATTTTTATTTATATATAAATACATATGTATATAATAATAGTAATTTATGTTTAATAAATATTTATTTATAATATATATATATATATATATATATATATATATATATATATATATATATATATATATATATATATATATATACACATACGTGTGTGTTTATTTTTTTTAGGTGTTACAAGATATCTCATCAAACCTACAACTAAATATCCTTTTACACTACATCACATTCGAGGATACTTAGGGAAACTAGTGGATGCCATGATAAAAAAATTAATTTTTTAAAGATTTTATTAAACCTAAGTCTAATTTTCTGATCCCATCTTTGAAAATACTCCTTGATAATTATCATATTATAATAAAATATTTTTTAATGTATATAATAACATTCAACACATCTTATTTTTGTTTATAACATATTTTTTAACATTCTAAATCATATACATATCCAACACGTCAAAGAAATTAATTTATATTTTTAATTTTCATCATTTACAAGATTTTTAAATAGGAGCCTAAGCTAAAATCCTCAAAAAAATGACTTTCTTTGGACAATTTTCGCTTGAGCGAAATTATAAAAAAATCAAGTCTCACTTTATTGGGAGTTTTTTACTTTAGTAAGATATTTTTGTTTGAGTGAAAAATGAATTTGAGGCAAGTCTCTCATCTTGGAAGCTACTTTCACTTGAACGAGAGACTTTCTCACTTGAGTGAAAACTCTCGAGATGAATTCTTGCCTCTAGTGCACATTTGTTTGATCAACAAGTTGACATTTAAACAAAATATGCATATATCAAACTTGCAAAAACACACATCAAATAAGTTTACAAGCGTACAACGCAATTTTTTAAGACCCTATTAGACAATTTGCTTTTAAAATTTTATACTTAATCCAAATATAACTATTGTATCTTAACATTTCACAAATATCATTTTTCACATCATAACTCTAAATCAACACATAAAATCACAATTTTCGACACAATGGAAATCAATTTCACAAATCAAATTCTTATAATTAAAAAATGTGATCAAGTCACCATCACATCCAATTCATCTATCTTAAGGTGCTAAACAATAGTGACCGACCTTCTTGAGAACTAATATTTACTTATATATTTACAATTTTATCGTCTCAATCTCCCCTCAATTTTGTAACTCTCATATAATTTATGATTTTGTCCATAAACTTAATGATCATTTTATATATTTACTTATATATTTATAATTTTATCCTCTCACCCTTTCATCTTCTTTCACCCTTTTATATTTATTTATTATTAATTAATAATATATTATTTGATCTCCCCAAAATCAATGGTTAAGGTTCGTCACTACTAAGCAATATTTACTATTAGTTTCCTTTATCATTCAATTTCTCCAACCAAGAGAAAACTTCAAAATTTGTACAATGCCAAGGGAAAAGTCCAATCAAAGAACATGTCACAATGTTCATAGACTAGTCAAAATTCATCTTTACTCAATAAACTCACACTCATACATCCCATGCCCCACTCACTCACATTTGTGCATCTCATACCCCACTTACGAGCCCCTCAAATTTACATCCAAAAATACTCCAAAATGGAAAAAAAATAAACTTAATGAAATGAAAATTTTGATTGAATAGAAGTGTTTGCCTTTATTTTAGAAACACTAAGGTGTGTTTGGATCTGTAAAAATATAAGAATAAGAGTGAGAAACCTAGAGAAAAGGTAGAGAAATTTTTTTTAAGAGAGATGGTGATTTTAAAATAATAAAATTTAAAAGGTTAAATTTCTATTTATAACTACTGAATGTTTAAATAATTTTTTCCATAATTTAAAATAAAAATAAGAATAATGAAAAATATTTTATGTACAAATAAAAAAATAAGAATTTAAAAAAATTGCATAAAATAATTTATGCATATAAACTAATTTATAATAAAATTATTTTATTTTTTTCGCATAAAAATTAGAGTCAAATAGAAGACTTTATCCATGTTCTTTCATTTATCTATGACGCTCT